AATCAGATTTGCATAAAACAATAATATGCAATTCATATTCAGATAATCGGAACTATAAAGACTATATTAAACAGTACATAGAGTTAGAAAATTAATCACACTAATTGCATAAATTATTATACCATAGTCACTTTAAATTCTTAATTAACCTTTGTTCTTTTGTCCTATGGGTTAGAAAATTAGAGATAAAAGACATAGAAAATTTTGCAATGTTTGATTTTTATTGTGTTGGTATCATTATCAAGTTCTATACCATCTTCAAAGTGTTCAAGTTCCTCATATAGAGACTCACCGTATCCCTACAAATGAAGAATAGTTTTTTCTTTTTATGCTAATCAAATGTGTGATTGAAGAATTCTATCAGAAAATTCTCAAGTGTAGATTAAAACTGATGTTTTATGACTAGAGGAAATATATCTTTTTCAGAGGAATAAAGTTAAATTTAGAAATTATCAAATAATTATTAAGAGTGATATTGTTTATTGTATTGAGAGAAGAAGGTATGTATTATTTGTAATTATTGGTTAAAATTATATATGGAATTATAATCTCCCTTGTGTTAAATACACACATAGGGTTCTCTATTTATAATAGAAGAAATATAGACTAAGCCCAAAATACAAATAAGAGATAATAACAAACTAACTAAAGATAAAAAAAATAAAGAAAAGATCAAGATAATATATCTAACACTCCCTTTCATGCATATAAATCGTATGTACCAAGCTTGTTACAAATATAATCAATTATTGGTCCTTGTAAAGACTTAAAAAAATATTTGCTTCTGCAATCGAGTGACACCAAATTGTTAATAATTTGTGAAGACGACATAAAAGACGAAATATCAACCCAAAAGGCTCCCTTGAGCAACAAATATGGGAGGTTGCTCCATATAAATCTCTTCTTGCAAATCATCGTTAAGAAATGCATTGTTGACATGTAGTAGATAAAGAGGTCATTGTTGAAGAGTCACCACGGCTATAAATAAACTAATAAAGCCATCTTTTCCACGAGAGAAAAAAACATATATAGAAGGATCAAACGCAATGGTGACAAAAGGGAAGTCAGAAGAGACAACAATAAAAGAAGCCATGAATGAACAGGAGAGAGAAACCTTAAAAATCCAAAATTCTTCAATCAAGGCACCTAAAAAAGGAAAAAGAGTAATCTTGATGCTCTGAATAGTTGCCTGAGAAGAGACGCAATGTGCGACCACGCACGATGAACCCTAAATGGGATCGACCTCAACGCTTTGAATTGTTGTGAGACATGCCACCATGCATGATAGAAAAGGAAAAGGCATTGAGAGTGCGTAAGAGCTCCAATGAAGGCGTCACCAACAGCGGTAGATGGCGTCGCCGCCGACAACGACGACTATAGTGGCAAAGATGTAAGGACTGTGAAAATCAGAGTAAGTAGAGGAGGAAAGGTGTATGCATGCAATTGGGCCGATTGGTTTTGACGGTAGTATACAAAAGTTTTAAAATTTTGTGCCACTTTCTGCATGCATTCCTTCTCTCCAAAAGTTCTGAGTTTCCTTTTTCTCCTTCTCTCTACAATTTCTCTCTAAAATTTCTTCATCTCACTTCATCTGATCTACAATCAGATTGTGTCTATGTGATCTTGATGTAAAGGACTTCTTCTTTCACCGATCAAGTTTGTGTTTTGAACGGGTAAGTTTCGTTTCTTAAGTTTTTGTGAATTCTGGAAAAGTTTTGTCACATGCAAGATAGTTCTGCTGGTTGCATGTATACTTCAATCCTCTTTTCTTCTTTCTAACTTCATTTCTGGTCTGTTGGGTGGTCTTTTCTCACCAATCGGTGAAGTATAGGTGTTCATAGGATTTTCTGGTGAGAAAGCAATTTCTGGAAAAGTTAAACGTTGTTCTGTTCGGTCAAAAAGGTAAGGGAAGCTAGTTAATTTAACTAATTTTTGAATGATGTATGAAAATAGTGTTTGCTGATTCTACATGTATGTATAATGGAATGATTATGTATTGTGTGATAATGGTTTGGATAATTAAGTATTATGATTGTGATGGATATGTTTCTGCATAATTATGAGTAAGTGGCCGAGTGGATTGGGAGGAATTAGGTTGGTGAATCTGGGTAATCTGGGTTTGGTATGAGTATGGTTGGTAAAGAATCTGGGTAAGTTATAGGACACAAGACTAGACTATCAGAGAGTAGGAAGAATGAGTAGATTTTAGGTAAACTTAAGTTTTATCATAATTTGCAATCATTCTACAGAATTGCGTAGTTTTGCTGAGGGTTTTGTGTTAACCGCTCGGTATTTTCTTGTGTTCGGTTGTAACTGAGCTCTGTTTCTTTAGAGCTTCAGTTAATGATTGTTCGGTCTTACACTAGTGTTCCATTGTACACTAGCGTTCGGTCTTACACTAGTGTTCCGTAGTACACTAGCATTCAGTCTTACATTAGTGTTCCGTAGTACACTAGCATTCAGTCTTACACTAGTGTTCCGTAGTACACTAGCGTTCCGGTCTTACACTAGCATTCAGTCTTACACTAGTGTTCCGTAGTACACTAGCATTCAGTCTTACACTAGTGTTCCATAGTACACTAGCATTCAGTCTTACACTAGTGTTCCATAGTACACTAGCATTCAGTCTTACACTAGTGTTCCGTAGTACACTAGCGTTCGGTCTTACACTAGTGTTCCGTAGTACACTAGCGTTCGGTCTTAGACTAGCACTCGGTCTTACATTTGTGTTCCTTATTACACTAGTATTCAGTATTATTTAGAATTTGGTTTAAATATAGTTTTCAGTCTGGTCATAATGCTCGGTATTACTCTAGTAATAGGTCTAGTTCTAGTATTAGATATCATTCTAGTGTTTGGATAATTTAGTGATTAGTTATATTTGAGTATTCTGCCTAAGTCCAAAGTGTCCGGTCTAAGGAGTATGCTTTGTTTTAAGAGTTCAGTATTGTGTCAGTAATTGACTTTCTACTAGGATTCAGTTATGTTGTACTCGGTATCTTTTAGTGGTCGGTCCGTATAAGTGTTCGATCACCTTTTCAGCCATACTTATTATGTATCGTTCGGTGCTATTCTTTGGGTAGTGAGAAATCGTTTGGTCTCCAACATCGTCAGAATGTTTAGTTTGGTATGTGGGTTACACTATTGCTTTATAAATTTCTTTTAAGTTAATTATATAAACATGCTGGGTGTGATTAATGGTGTGGATGTATTTATTAAATATTGTGTTTTCAAATGGTATGAAAGAGGATTCCAAGGAGGAATTATCTAAATGATGGGTTACTAAGTTATTGGTAATGGTATGAATATGGGAAGCTCAGTCTTGACATTCATCCTGACATTCTAATGGTCACCATTTCTCAAGTAGAGAATGGTGAGGCATGTAGTGAGAATAGCAGGAGGCCCTAGCCTAGGGGTTTTACCTTGACCTAAGATGAGTGATAACGGGCTAACCTTGTGTGGTAGCTTAGGATGGACCAGCTGTTTCACCACAACGATTGCACGAACGGTCATAGCTACATATTCATATCAGTCCGGACTGTCTAAAGTAAAGTGGTCGGTTATTAATTGTTTATATGATTTATGCATGTGCTTGTGTGTTTTATTTGTTTATTGAGTGATATGTTAACGTGCATATTAAATTACACTAACTTACCCTACTTTTCTGTTTTGCTTATGTTGACGTTCGATTTATCCTTTGCAAGGATCATCCTATGGGTGTGAGTAGAAGAAGATGAGGTTTCGGTGAAACAAGCTCTGGAAGGAGAAGACCCACCAGTATAGTATAGACCGTTCAGTCTTGTACCTAGTTTTGTAATAGATTAGGTTGTTGGTTGAAAGGTTTAATTTTATAGTTGTTTTTGGGATAACTGTACTGTTAAATACTTAACCTCCTCGTAAATAACTGATCTATCATATTATTATATGTAATTATTCTATAATATAGTTATACTATATTTTTTGGATGTTACAAAAGACAACAATTTTTTTTCCACAATAAAACCTTAAGCTCTAATGCAATGTTGAATATAGTGAAAACTATGTATGAGATTAGTTTCTCTTGTGTTGAATATATACATAGGGTCCTCTATTTACAATAGAAGAAATATGAGTTAAGCCCAAAATACAAATAAAAAATAATAACAAACTAACTAAAGATAAAAGATGAAGAAAAAATCAAGATAATGTATCTAACGGTAATAATTAGGAGCATTATGGTTTATAGATGAAAGATCTAATATTAGTCCTATAAATTGTAAGGGTTATGAGAAATGAAAACACACTAAAGCATATTCAAAAATATCTAAATAAGTGTCATTTTCTAACAAATTTGCATCAGAGTTGAGAGAGCCTGGGTGTCCGAATGAGAAAGAGAGAGATGGCCTACCTAGCAAATAATATGTTACCGCCTCAGTTGACAAAGAAAGTATGGGATGTTATTACTAAAGGAGTCCACCGAAGATGAAGAGTAGATAGTGGCTCAAGTTTTTGTATTAAGAAAATCATGTATGAAGAATCCGTCACTACAAAAATATACAATTTTAGTACGGGTTATTTTTAACGTTAGCGGGATTTTAACCCCTAAAAAATACAATTTCCGAGATTGCAAAACTCCTAGGAAAGAGGTAGAAAACCACTGGGAAAAGCTACGTCGGAATTAGCAGAGATTTTGCGAAAATCGCTGGGATTAGCAGGGATTTTACAAAAACCGTCAGAATTAACAGAAGTTTTACAAAAACTGCCGGAAATATAAATATATTTTTTTTATTATTCAAATGATTTGATTATCATAAATAAACCAAAATTAAATAATATGAAACCAAAATTTAAATAATATAAAACCAAAATTAAATGTAAACATTAAATATAAACCAAAATTAAATGTAAACATTAAATATAAACCAAAATATTATTATATAAACTATAAACATTAAAAATACAATTAATGTTTCGCAAAAATTAAAATAAACATGTTATGAATAATAATCATTAGTTTTGTAGTTCTTCATTATCTTCATCATTTGGTACTTCTTCATTGTCTCCATCATTTGGTACTTCTTCTTAGTCTCCATCATTTGATAAGCTTTCTTTTTCATATACACCTACAATATAAAATAATAATTAGTTGATAATATATTAAAAAAAATGGACCAATGAATTCCCATGGGCTGAAATCATAACATTCTTTCCAAATAAAAGTTGTGGTTCAATACGCAGAATTGATGTCAATGGAATCAGTTCCTTGTAAATGTTACATGCTGTCTTCAACCATACCAGAAATTTGATCATACAACATAAATCAAGCTACATAAATGCCACCACCACCAAGGCATAATTTTTTAATTGAAGTAAAAATATCTAATGAAAACAGATATTTTTTCCTTAAAGTAAACAGTCTCTAAACAAGATACCAAATATATATGTAATGGTACAGTAAAAGGATGATGAAGAGCCTGCATTAAACCATATTTAAGAATAATAACAAAAAACAGATATGATGTTATGTACCCCCAGACAACTTTACATGGACGTAGCATATTTTCCCCAATATCAAGCACAAAGTACAGGCCCTCCTGTTGAATTATTATTCAATTCTTTGTTGTTGAGAAGAAAATTGCCAATTCACACATTGACATAATTTCAAAGAGAGAGGATCTGCAAAGATTATATTGAGAAAGAACAATCACACAATTTGACCTGTGAAAGAGTTATAGGACAGATCAAGAAAGATAAGTCGGGGTGGCAGTGAATCAGGAATATGACCTGAGAAGTTGTTGTGTTGGAGATATACAAAAGGCAGAGAAGGAAGGGAAAGTAGGTCACTTGGAAGGTTTCCCCTCAAGCTGTTGGACCTAAGACTAAGACTAATGAGGCCATTAAGCTTACCAAGTGTGTTTGGTGGGATAGAACCGCGCAGTCCCACACCTGGAAGCCTCACAGAAAGCACATGGGACCCATCATGACTACATGTAACTCCCACCCATGAAGTGCAGATTGAGGTATTAGAGTTCCAATTGACTCTTGGACCATGATGAAGTGCAGCAGCAAAATCAAGAAGAGCTTGCTTTTCTGAGTGTAGATCAGCTTTAGTTTGAGGAAACACAAGCAGGAGTAGGAAAATTGGAATTGTTGAAAAGTAGGACTGTAGCATCATCAAATTTACTTGTTGAATCAAGGTGCCTGAGATGAGAGGCTGGAATGGAACTGGTTGCATGGTTTCAGTAGTCCACTTGTTTCCCTAGCAATTCAGATTTCACACAAAATATTACACACTGATCAAAAGGAGCAACTATAACATATAACCAAGCATGCAATGCAACAAANCTTTCTTCGACTCATCTTCTATTTAAAGGCTTCTCAAAAAGATATTCTTTAGATAGAACTTTGGCCTTGATTCTTGAGTTTTCTTGGTCTTTTCGTATGAAGTAGTCGTTTGTTAAAGTCAACTTGTCATTTTTAGTACTTTGAGAAAAATAGGTAATAATATTTATGTGGCACGACTTTTGAGGGAGAAAACATTCCGTTAATGTCTTCTTTGTTCCTAACGTCTACTTCTGATTTGTATAGGATGGAGCAGGTGGATGCATCTAATAGGAAATTTGCACAAAGTAAAGTAGATATGCATGTAGCAGATACGTTTTATCTCTTATCACTTTTTGTTGTTTTTAAACGTTGAATATTTAATGACATTTAATGTTTGTTCAGAACAACAAAGTGCTTTTTATGTTTTTCATTGTTCAAGTAGGATTTTATCATTTGAGTTTCACACTAAGATAACAAGCAATTCATTGAAGGATTCATTGTTGGATTAAATGGATCGTTTAGCAAATGGTATCGTCTAGCCTATGTAAACGGTTTAAGATTCTGCTCTATTTAGCAAGTGTGTTTGGCAAGAAGTCTTCTATCACAAGTTTTTGGAATTCTAATTGAGACTTTCAAAGTGCTTTCCAAAAACATTTTCTAGACATTTTTACCTTCTTAACTATATTAAGAGTTGATTCATTATCGTCTGGTACGGTATAACATTTGCGTTTACCAAAACTATCATTAGCACCTTAACTTGGCAATCGTTTAGTGGTGTGTCCAATTTATGCCTGGTGTTTTTCTAAGACTTGGCCTAAGTTACTTGGTTTTCAGAGTATTTTCATTCATTACCTATATTCCAGCTATTCTAATATGTTAGTGATAACATTATCATATGTTCATTTCATTTAATGTTGTTTGTTAGACCTCAAAACATATAAGAGTGTTTAGACAAATCAATCTTATAAACGATCTTGTCTTAACAATGGTGTTCAGTAGTATAGATTGTCCTAACCTCCACTTCCAAAGACACATTCTCAACCCCAAATCTATAGCTTGAATCATTCTCTATTTCTGCCTAACTATTTATGGTTGATACACTAAAGTCATTTTTCATACACTTTTCACTACCTCTTGTAAGTTTTACCAAAATCTAAAGATAGCCTTGGGTCTCAATGTAAAACATGTTAGTTATCACTTCACACTACCTTATTCCATCCTTGAAGTACCCTCCAACTAACTTGATCACACATGACTCCTGGTATAATGACAAGAAGTGAACACTCTTGGTCACCTTATTCACAAGCACCCTCATAACATCATGCTCAGTTTATTGACTTTGGCCAGTGGGTACAAAGTCCATAACAATGTTATCCCACTTTTAAATTAAACCTTTCAATTGTTGCAAGGACAAAGCCCATTTAGACATTCCATCTTCATTTTCTAATCCATTAACCTGTAGCCATCCCTTAACAACATCTTGGTTTAACTTGAAATCATTTGTTTGATCAATACTTAACATCTTTATGGTACTTCTCAACCTTGAATTGTCCGATTTTCCTTTTCCCAATCATTTTGAAACACTCATTAGCTATAGTCAAGCAACTACATGAGTGAGAATCGTCGCTTAGTGTCGTGTCACGAATATGCCACTATTTTGATGTTTTAATGTTGGTGCTTACCCCACCTATACTACCACTCAATGTCATGACAATAGTTTTCTAGATTTACAGAATTTAACTTGCATAATCACTCAATTTGGTACTTCCTAGTTTTTCTTATCCCAAATAATTATGAAAGCCTACCATGAGATGACCAATCTAACCAATTTCTAGAGAGATTATGTGTTTTGAAATAATAAAACTCATTTATAAAACCTCCTATTTATATACACCCTTTTAAAAATTAAATTAATCGAGTCTTACTATTTTTCAACTCTTATATCAATTTTAAAATACAATTTTCTAGGTCCACACAATTATAATATAATTGACTAAGTTATAATAATATTATTATATCACGTTATAATGTAGTTGATTATGTTTTGTTTAAATAAACTTTTATTGTAGTAACGATATATTTATAACTTTCTCTTTGTTACGTAGTTTTTGTTTTATTTCTTTACATATTTGTTTGAGGGTGAGTTGAAATATGTTTTTTATATAAATTAGTTCTGTTATTATTTTTTTTATAAGTTATTGGATATTATTTGGGAGATATTCACTTTTGTTTACTCATCCGAAACCAAACACAATGTTAGTGATACCAACAACGTGCAAGAAAAAAAAATTGAAGATTAAATGTTTTGATTCCAAGTCTCTCCAAAACACGAGATTAGGGTTAATCATCGCTCTCTAGAGGTATTATTTATTTTGGAGATTGAAGCTCCATTACCATTTTGTCTTTAAAAGATGTCTCAAAGGATGAAGGAATAATGAGTATTTAAATTATACTTGACTTCGACTCTTAGGCGATCTGAGAATATTGGATGTATCAGAACAAACCCCCTAGTTGAGGACAATGGAAACTTTCATTCTCACAGACCGGACCAATGTTTCGATCCCAAGTCTGTTTAGATATCATTAGGATCAATCTTTACATTCTTAAAGTATTGTTCGCTTTAGAGATTCGAGTTTCATTATGATTTTATCCTTAAAAAACACGTCGAGAGATGAAAAGAGATTTAAACTGTGTTTGATATCGGTGTATTTGAGTTTTGAGTTTTTAAACTACTAAAATCTATTTTTAAGATTGTCACATACCACAAATATTAGATAATTGTTTGACACACAGTTACTGATGAAGTTGGAGAGGAAGGACTCATTCACATATTTTAAAAGAAAAAAACTGAGGACTAAATTCACGAGTCTAAAACACCTGAGTGAAAAAATGCACTGCTATCCCTCAATTGCACTGCCATAATACGTTGTAAGTGAGAGAGATTGTAAGTTCAACCTCTCGACTAACATAATACGTTGAGAAAATTGCACTGCCATCCCTCAATTGTAATACAATTATACCTTACAGTCTTAAATTTTTTACCTGTTAAACTATGTGTCTATAAGGGAACTTTCGTCAAAACAAAGATGCAACATTTTTACATTAAACTCTGAAACTAAAGAACATCTAAATAAGTCTCTAACAGCACAATAAGGTGGTAATATAAACATTATTACGACATCAAACATACAAGCTGAGAAGTGAACATAACTATGTGCAACTTTAGCAGATAAACATAACTGATATTTGACTGAAGATAATCTACGTCGTCTTAGAAAAATCCAATCCAACGCTCACTGTTGAGACTGCAGAGTAGAAATGCAGAAGTAGCATCAAAGAGATCAGTAAGAAACCAATCACGATTCTTCAAAATAAACAGTTAAGAGATTCGCAATACCAGATAACGTTTCTTGAATCTATCAACGATTTCCTGGGGTTCTAATTTTGTCTCTGTATAAGCATCAATCTTGTTAACCTCCTGTAAGAGAAACATACGATATTGCTTTAGTAACCAGTGTATCCCAAGGGTTATTACTTGGTAGTTATGCAGGTTCAAATGGAGCAATCTGTCAGCTGTTGTGCAGCAAATTGAGAAATTTGAAACAAGAGCAATTTCCCCAAAAAATAGAACCTCTTTTTTACATAAAACTGAGTTTAGTGTACCTCAATCCACGTTGCAAGTTTTGGCCTTCCTTCGGTGATGTCATGTTTGAACACGTCAACAGAGACAGGTTGGAATCTTTCAACAAATGGAATGTATGCAATATCCACCTGATCATCACAAATATTTTTATATGATACAAAAGCTATGGTCATTGATGTAATCACGTATGATACTAGTATTCTACATTGGGATCAAACCATGACTACTTTCTTTCATCTTATTGAAATGTTTGGCTTTTGGATAGAGATATTAAAGATCACGAAATACAGAATTGGTGTTAACTAAGATGTATTAAAATACATTAATATCTTTAACGTATTACAATAGAATTTATAGTACTATCATAATTCTAAAAGCTAACGAGGAAATATGGAAATCAATGCTCGAGGATAATAAGATATGCTAAGGTATTTTGATTTATTCCAACCCATTAGATGCATCACGACAAGCATTAGTAATCACAGCCTGAAAAGCAGCAAGTTTTTAAGAGGAAATCAAAAATCAAAGATTATTGAAATGATTTTAACTCACCAAACTGAATTGACCAAGAAAGAACGGCCCATCATCAAATTTACCAAGAGCATTCTCCAAGTAATCAAAGGCATAACCTGATTTAAATCGCCATGGTAAGGACCCACTTGTATTTGTGTAGAAAATGAAAAGGGAAAATTTCCTATAGTTATGAACTTAAATATATCGCTTACTAGCTTGCTGTACAACACCCCCTTTCAATGAAGAGGACGCGTCATTGTTGAATGTATCAACATGGGATAATAGTTGTTCACCAAACTCTTTCTTAGCAGGATCCTAGAAAAATTTGCACTCAACATCATTAATTCATTCTAACAAAGAGATGAGAGAGGCCATGAAGGGCCAAAAGAGAATGTGCAGTTTCTAGTTCTTACACCATGAAACAAAGGTGTCCCTTCAAAGTTGGCATCTACATATTTTCCAACTATGAACACAGGATAACCATGGTATCTAAAAAAGGTCTTATTCGCTGTTATTTCCGCTGCAGAAACTCAATAAACCATGCTTGTAAAAAAAAAAAGACTTAAGGGTGAAATTTTATACTGTTCAACTATTTATTTGGAAGGTATTATGAGGAATGAATAAGATCAGAGACTCTTTTTACAGAAAATAAATTAATATTTGAACTATTGAATTCAACTTTTGACACTATTTTAACTTGTAGATCTCGATGAAAAGAAATGGATTTCCTTCGGTTTCCCATTTTCCAATGAATTGACCCTTACCTCAGTTACAGTTACACAACTTAATTTACCCCAGTTTCAAAGATTTCCAGCTGAATTGTTTGAATACATGGAACGTTTTACTTGATAAGTGCACAAAGAAGAGTAAATGAAATTTCTTGCCTTTATGATATATAGCACAAACAGCTGCAACCACACTTGAACCACATATTCATTACAATAAAAAAAAAACAAAAAAACAGAGGTGAAGGACACCTACCTGACGAGTACAATGTAGAGCTTCTTCCCTTTCTGACTGTTGGCCCAAGTCTCCATGGCATCGGCAGAACTGATTCTAGGCAGCCTGGCTCTGTTGGCATCGCCGTGAGCTGACGCGTCACTGACCGGATTTCCCTTCTCTCCTTCCGACAAGTCCTTCGACATATCTGCGGTGGCTTCCCTCCGCCCTCGCTCGCGTTCGAGCCGGCGCTTGTTAACTCTCTGCGCCGCCTCACTCTCCAGCTACTCAAATCCATCACAACACACAGCACGATCAATAGACATCATCAAGCAAAAAAATCACAACACATAATTAGAATTACCGGAAGAAGAGAAGTGAATAACATTCACTGCAGAGCTATGATAAGAGAGGTTACTTAGATAGGAAACTACGGGAAGCTTCTCCGTCCCCGATGGCTTTATCGACCAAAACTGCAAACACGAGAAAACGAATCAATCGAGTAATTAACCCTAATCACAAGCAAAGAGCGAGAGCGAGAGCGAACGAGAGAGACCTTGATGTCGAAATCGGCGCTGGCAGTGGCAAGAGTGGCGGTGAGGGGGTGGAAATCGAGAGTTAAGATGGGTTTTCTCTCGTGCCAGATACTCTGAACTGTGCCACCTGTCGTTCTCTTCAGATTCGGAGGTTTGGGTTTAGAGTCTCAATCTTCTTCTTCCTCTAATTTTTTTTGCTGAAAGTGCGGTGGTGTAGTGTGAGAAAATGACAGAAAAGAATATGCATGTGAACTTCAATATTATTTATTTTCATATTCAATGTGACCATAATCTCTCAGGTTGAGGGAAAATAAACAAAAACCAGATTATTGTTGCATGTTTTTATAAAGAGAAACAAAAGCAACGATTGACATGTTTTTAATACTCTACAATGCTTTTGTAAAGTATCCAGCAGAATAACAAAGCTGCAAGTTATGGATACTGCATCTTTATGCAGATCGATGTAAAAATATATATAATTTATCATCCAAATTGTTTATTCCGTAAAATAAGTTGGCTTCTTCTTCAATCTAAAATTAAAAATTAAAAATTAAATACAAAACCTAATAAAGAAAAATAAAAAATTAAATAGAGAATCGAAACACTACGGATGTTGCATGTTCGTTTGGCCTTAAACGAAAGTTCACATTCGTTAACGGATGTCAATATCCATTGAAAGCAAATGAATATTTGACTTCCGTTGTGGTCTTTGCGGCCTTTGTTCTTGCCAGAAACTCAAACAGTGGCATATACAATGTGCATAATAACAACACCAACAACATCACAGTAAAGGCAACACAGAATACACCAAACACATCNCTTTTGTAAAGTATCCAGCAGAATAACAAAGCTGCAAGTTATGGATACTGCATCTTTATGCAGATCGATGTAAAAATATATATAATTTATCATCCAAATTGTTTATTCCGTAAAAGAAGTTGGCTTCTTCTTCAATCTAAAATTAAAAATTAAAAATTAAATACAGAGCCTAGTAAAGAAAAATAAAAAAATTAAATAGAGAATCGAAGCACTACGGATGTTGGATATCCGTTTGGTCTTAAACGGAAGTCCATCGTTAACGGATATCGATATCCATTGAAAGTCAAATGGATATCTGACTTCCGTTGTGGCCTTCGCGGCCTTTGTTCTCGCCAGAAACTCAAATAGTGGCATATACAATGTGCATAATAACAACACCAACAACATCACAACAAAGGCAACACAGAACAAACCAAACACATCAAAGAAATATAATGCATAACGATACAAACCACTAACATGTTGGAGAACCACGAACCACCACCACTACGAACCACCACTATCACAAACCACCACGAACCACCACCGGACAATGCACCAACAGAGAGAAGAAACGGAAATGGAGAATGTTGTGTTAACAAAAGTGAAAATTAAGAGAAAAAGAGAAAGTGATAGTGGGGGTGGATGCTTGCCGCTGAGAGTGAAAGTGAGAGGAAATTGTGATTAGAGCTTTAAAAAATAAAAAGTAAAATTGATAAAAGTAAAAGTAAAAAGAATAAATTTGAAATTTAAAAAAAATTGGAGAAGTGAAAGAAAAAGATGGGGTGGAGGGAGCATATCTGACAATATAAGGGTGTTGCTCCCTCCACCACCACACCTTTCTTCCTCCACCTCCCATTTACTATTTTGCCCCTAAGTAAAATTTTATTTTTAGGGTTATTTTTTAATTTTACCCATTCACAACCTATTTCACTATGAATAAAATATTTTTCTTTCATTTTAACATTATATTTCTTCCTCTCTTTCTTTTACAAGTTGCAAAGATTGGTGGTGGTGGAAAGAATTATCAAGCAGTCTCCCTCTCGTGGTGCAGTGTCGCTCTTGTAGTGCAGTGTGTGGAGTGGTGCAGTGTGTGTTACTTCCTCAAGGTGCGTATTCAAATAAACTTTCAAATAAAACCCTAAAATAAAAAACGTAACCTTTAAGACATCCTTCAACGGATGTCAAAATCCTTCAACGGATGTCAAAATCCTTCAACGGATGTCAAAATCCTTCAACGGATGTTGACATCCGTTGAAGCATTTTGACATCCGTTGAAGTATTTTGACATCCGTTGAAGAACGTCACGTCCGTTTAAAAGTTACGATTTTTTATTTTAGGGTTTCTTTTATTAGTTTATTCTTTATTTTGGAAATATTTTAATAATTTAATTTAAATGTTTTGATTTATTATTTTTGAATATATTTTTAATGTATTTTAATAATGTAAGGAAAATGAAGAAGAAAAAAACGGAGGAGGAGAAGTGAAACGGAGAAGACAGATTGGATTGCAGAGTAAAACGAAAGACAAATTATTAAACGAAAATGAGAGATGGAAAGATTGAGTGCAAGAGTAAAGTAGGAGAACTAGGTTTGAAATAAATTAAAATAGTAAAAGTAAAAAATTTTAATCTGAGGATATAATTGGAATTAAAATAAATTGGGGAGGTGGAGGGAGAAAGGTGTGGTGGTGGAGGGAGCAACAACCACAATATAATTACACAAGCCCAAACGTAATAGAATCAGGCCCAAGTGTCTAGAAAACTATACCACCAAAATTGTTCTTTCTCATGTAATCCCATGCGTGTGAAAATTTCAATTTTATCCTCTTTGATTTTGAGTACGGAAGGGACAATTCGAAAACGTCTCAGAATGTATAATTCGAAACCTAAGTGACATGGTTTACCATGCCCAGTATATGAATAAGTTGAATTAGTAATGTTAAAACCAATACTTCTTACAAAGTCGAAGGCACTTCACGCTACAAATATTTAATTCATAAGTTATAGTTCTTCTACTTTCGTTGTTTATTTTCTAGCTTCCTATGAATAATTTGACGTCTGTTTATAACGAACACTTCCTTATCACTTGCTGGAATTTATTTTTGATGATGAAAATCAGCCTTAACTATTCCTCAATATGTGCAATTATTTACGATATGACAGTTATTATAACTT